ATGAAAACCACAAAAAGAAGGTGCAACAAAATTATCAAAAGTTACATTATAAAAAAAAAAAAGGTTTTTTTTTTTTTTTTTTTGCTTAAAGGGTTTATAAGCAAGACAACTGCTTAGATTTACAACATATATTCTTCAGACATTTTACTAAATATACATTATATGATGAATCTTATTTTTATTTTTTATTTCTCTTCGTACTTAATTTTTCCTTAATATTTTTAAAAGTATAAATAAATAATGAAACATAAATAACTGCATTTCTTCATTTGTTTTAAAGAAATTTTACAACCACTTATGGTTATTTAAACAAAGTCATGCATTTTAGCAAATTTTGATTGAAATGCAAAAATTATATCCGAAAAGCTCAACACACACATAGTTTTAAAATTAGTTAATATTATAAGTTAAAGAAATAAATATTTTTTAAAAAAAAAACGGTTCATTTTCTCTTAATTATGATTTCAAATTTAAAGCTATCTCACATTACTTATTAAAATCCTTTTTAGTAAACAGTTTTTTACAAAAATATCTTAACAATTTCTTTTAATGAATATGTGTGTGTGTGTGAATTAGTTCATTGTATATTTTTAGAAATTTCATGCAATATTTTCTATGAAATACAACGTAAAAGGTTCTACATTACAAGTTAAATAAAAGCTTGTAAAAAACAGGAAAGAACGTGGAAATTTAAATTTGACTAAGAGAAGTATTTTTTGAAGCAAAATTTAAGTAATTTAAAAAAAACAGCGAGCTCGCGGGAATCGTACCCGCATGTTTCAATTGAGGACAGCTTCTCTAACCACTAGACCACGAGAGCTCGTAGAAAGAGGTAAAGTAAGCTTCTAACTTGGGTAAGAATTTTTTAATTAATATCTCTTTAACTAATTGCGGTATCGGAAATAAATAATCAAAACATGCATTGTCATCCAAACTTAGTGTGTACACAAAATTTCAGCTCAATCGGTTGAAGACATCAGCTTCAAAATTGAGTTGCAAAATTCCACCCAAACATTTTACATTGTAAGTTAAATAAAAGCTTGTAAAAATTTTTTTTTTTCATCGCTGAAATTCTTTCTTTCCAGTTCGAGAAGTTGAGGTATTTTCAGTTTCAAAGATGCTTGTCAGATGCAAAGACATCGATAGCATTGTTTTATGGAAAGCTTCCATTATGAAAATCGTTGGAGAGCCTCGAAATTTTTTTAAAATATTCTTTTTCTCTTAATTACACTGTATGTCAAGACTTCATGATATTTGAACTACTATAAAATGCTTTACAGAATTTTTTTCGCTGGATCTTCTCACTTCTCTTGGAGTTAAATATTCACATTTAAATTCTAGATTTTTATTTTAGTATATATAAGAACAAGTAATGTAAAAAAAATTTTTTTTTTCGTTAATTTCTACTTAGGTCAACAAAGAAAAATTTTATTTTCGACACTTTTTTATTAAATAGTTACAATTAATATAAATATGTATATACATATTACAGAATCACAATATTAAGTGACAAAATAGAAAAGGATTTTCCTTGCAATTTTCTATTTTCCTTTCTATATAAGGTGTTGGACTGTTTTTTGTTTGTTTGTTAATTTTTATTCATTAATTAAATTAATTATTCTTATAAAATAGTATGGTAAAAAAAGAAATCACATTCACAGGAATTAGGCCATCCCAGGCGGGATTCGAACCGCGACCTTTGGATTAGAAGTTCAACGCGCAATCCATTGCGCTACAGAGACACAGCGATCTATTTCCCTTTCTATATATGCTGTGGGACTCTTATTTTTGTTTGCTGTTATTTATTAATTTTTAATTTAGTTAATTAATTTATATTTGAAAAAACTGTATAAACATCAAGTGTCATCCACTACAAGTTGTAAGGCATTGGCCTGTGGGCGATGCCTTACTTCTAAGTTATCCTCGTAGCCTAGGGGTGTGGGAATGAGCGAAGTACCAGGCGTTGCCATAATCTTAATATCTCTTTATTAAGATCTCATCTTAAACACTATACAATGATGATATTTATATTTAAACTAAGTGGATCTGAGGTGAAGAAACACACAATACGTACTACCAAATAAGCGCGACCGTGATCACTATATTTAACTTAAACCGCTTACTCCTAACCTCTGTATATGCAAACTTCCTAGTAGTTAATAGAACGGTCCTACCTATATATCCTAGGTAGAAGCAACTATCTTGAATCCTCAATGTCGTTTCCTTATCTCGCGTGGAATGGTATCCACCTTGACTTGAACGTACTGGCATGAATAGCTCAACACTTGAATATCGAATAACCTCATTTTTAACTTTAACACTCCTAACCACAGACTAGCATAATCACTTCCTAAAGGCCACACTGCTATTTAAACTTCTGCTATTTAAAATGTTTTTAATTTGCTTAATCACCCTTGGGTTCTGGATTTGGTTGGAAAAAATTTGCCTTTTTCGGCCCCAAAGAACCCTAGAGGACAATTAATGGACAGTGCGATGAGCCCGTCACAAAGTTTAAAAAAATATATTTTAACTTGAATGGATGATTCGAAAGTATTGTATTAACGATTGAAAATTTGAACAGGATATATATATATATATATATATATATATATATATATATATATATATATATATATATATATATATATATATAGTATCGTTGGCCGGTGTTGGTTTATTTATGTTAGTTGTTCTTGAATAAGCGGAGAACTTCTGATTTCATTTTACTCTTTTTTATTTTCACACGAAAGAACAAAGGCGTTACGACTTCACAATAAGCCTACGAGCACGCAAAGATATAAAGGATAAAAAAGCTGCAGATATATGTTAATTTTTACGTGGACGAGGTGGAGACAAAAAAGCAAACGATGACGATTACATGGTGAAGGCAAGCAGACAAAGAGAGAAAGCACAGAAAAGCTCGCTATTTATACTTGGCATTGAAGATCACGTGACTCCTTTGTAATAAAAGCTCTGAGTGGTTAAAATGGGTGGGAAAGGGAATTTTGAGGTAATAATACTAGATTAGGTTGTTAGTTTTTTTTGTGTGTGTGTGAACTTAAGAATTAAAAATTTCAATATTATTAAAAAGAGTTATATATATATATATATATATATATATATATATATATATATATACAGTCCCTGGCCAAATTATTAGACGCACTCTTACTTTTTAATAATTAATTGTTTTATATAAGTTTATATGAAATACTTTTACATTTAAACATAGATCCAATGGATTTTTAATGATAAAATTTATTATATATTTTGTATTTGTATTTATTTCTTACACATGGCAACACAAATTTAATAAATTCTCTCACGAACGTAATCAAGTTTAAACCTGCTCCAGTCAGTTGCGGACGTGTTTCTGTGGGTTAATGTGCTTTGTTTGTTAATTTAGCAGTTTTATATTACGCAGTTATTTGTTTATTTCGTGTGTGGTGTTTAAATAATCAGTTTGTACACTTTTAGCAAGGGTAAAAAAGGCGATCTTTCACCATGTAAGAAAGCAGAAGTAAAGTCCCTTGTGATTGCAAAATTGTTTTTAAACCACGGAATATCACGAAGGTTGAAAGTTTCTGAAGCTAGTGTACGACGCATAAAGAAGAAAATTGAGCCCAAAAAGAAAGAAAAAATGCGGCAGAACGCCTATTTTTACTCCAAGGTCAGAAAGATCTTTAAAGAAAATTTGCTTTGAAAACAGATTTGCTACCACAAAAGTGATAAAATCGCAACTCCAAGATATTAATGTAAATGCTTCTGAACGCACTGTTCAAAGAAAATTAAAAGATTTAAATTTCAAGACATACCGTCCCACCAGAAAGCCATGTTTAAACCCTGCAGTGAAAGCAAAGCGTCTGAATTAGGCCAAACAGTGGCGTGATAAAGATGTGGACTTCTGGAGACCGGCATGCTGTTATAATTTATTCACAAACAAAGTGTTTAACTATTTTCTATGATTACAAAAGGAACAGCAAAGATATTTATTTATTATTTTTTTATTTTTGAAAGGTCTGTTTTAGTGATGAAAGCACATTTGAAATTTTGCAAAACAAAGCTCAGTTTGTGCTTCGTCGTCGTGGAGAAAAGTTTCATGCTGACTGTGTTGTTCAGACTGTGAAACACCCTACAAAAATAATGATTTGGTCAGTCATCAGTGGCAAGGGTACTGAACATCTGTACATGGTTAAAGGTATGACGCGGCAGGACCAGTACAAAGATGTCTTGTAAAATCCCATCATACCGCAGCTGGAAGAATGGTTTCCAAATGGAGAATCATACATTCTTATGCAAGATGGAGCTCCCTGCCATACAGCTCGATCTATCAAAGCTTTTTTGGCAGAACAAAATATCCCTCTGTTGGATTGGCCGGGTAATAGCCCTGAAATGAACACAACCGAAAACGTTTGGGAGTTAATGAAAAAAGAAGTGGCTATAAAGATGTGATTACAAATAAAACGCAGCTCTTAAAAAGAATAATTCACATGTGGAATCATCCTCCTCAGATGCAGGAAACAGTACAGTCTTGTATTGATAGCATGCCGCGCAAAATTGAAGCTCTCATAGCGGCTAAAGGTGACACAACAACATATTAATATTTAATTATATTTGTTCCTGCTTTTTTTCTTTCAAGAGTCAATAAATACATATTTTTCTTTAATGATGATGTTTTATTTGTGATAATAATAGATTATTAAATGGACAACCAAAAAACACACACATACACTGTATCTGATAAATACAAAAACCCTGTATACTATCACATGATAATTAATATTTTTCATAAAATCTTATAGTGCGTCTAATAATTTGGCCAGGGACTGTATATATATATATATATATATATATATAAGGATGCTAAAGGTAATTA